GTCTAAGATCTTTGCCCATCACTCAGCCATAGAGGGGAGTTTAGGCAGGAAATTAAACAGCTTCATCCATCATATTTATTGAACAGCTTTTCTGTGGAAGACATCTGTACAGGAGGTCAGTCATGCACACAGATCCTCAGACTCCAAAGAGAGAAACGTCCTTCTCACTGCCCAGACTCTCTCTTTCCTTCTTTACTGCTTTCAGCCTTCCTTGTCTTGCCTAGTTCTTCAAACATGCCAAGATTCTTCCAACACTGGCTTTACCTGTTGCTGTTCCTCAGCCTGCTCTTCTCACCACTGCTAGTGTTGCACACTGGTGGTCCTTCTCCTGCAGGCCTCAGCTAAAATGTGACCTCCATAAGGAGGCTTTCCCTGGTCCTCCCCTCCCAGAACTCTTTTTGACCCTCGACTCTTTTATTTCCCTCCTATAGTTCATTACACATCCATGTGTCTCCTGGCTGCTTGTCTTTGGCACCCAACAGCTCACAAGCTCCTAAAGTACTCTGATAATAAAGAGTTGAATCCTGGATCTCAACTGCTTGATCAAAGGCCAACTTTGTCACTTGCTGAGCAGATGACCTTGATTAAATTACCTAAACACTATGCCCTAGATTGCTGACCTATAAAATGGAAACTATAATAGAGCCTTATCCTAAATGGCACCTCATAAATAACACCTTGCATCATGAAATCAGTTAATGCACATGGAGACTTAGAACATTGCCTGGTCTATACAGAGGCCTTATTGAAGTTAGCTTTCCTAGCGGCTGTCAATCACCATTCTAACTCTAAGGTCGAAGGTATGACAGGAGCTCAGTTGACATTAGGAGAACAAATAAAAGCATGTGCACATGAGCAAAAGCCCCCACAGGAGCCCAGGTAAGTGTAAATGTCAGTGTAAGAGCCAGGGGAAGGGCAACTCACTGCCAGAGACTCAGCAGAGATTTGGGGAGAGCATTGCCTCATGTCTACACTGGAAGAAGTTCCAGGGAGAATCTGGAAGAGCAGGTTCTACAGAACAGGTGGGGAGGTCATGAGCAAACTGGGTTTTTCTCTTTTCCCTAAGACAAAGAAGGGTTCCAGGCTGGTGTGAGAGAGATTATCTCCTTTGGCACAGAAATCTGCCCCACTGTCTCTCCCATCTCCCTCAGCCACGAACATGCAAAGGACAGCCAATAAATTGCAAACACATTCTAAAGCTGTGAAGCTGCACCCTGGCAATCAATAGATTCCAGAACCGGCAGAATGGGGCAGAAGAGGGGTTTTGAGAGACCTTGTAACCAAATGATCATTTCCAACTTGCTATGGGGGAGCAAGGATATCTGAGCTCCAAAAACAGGGCCAAAGCCCTCTTATAAAAGGGAAGAGTTGAAAGTGCTCTTATCTTCTCAGAGCCATAAACTCAACCACACAAACAGCTAATTCATGCAATCAGCACAAAGTCACTGCAGGCATGTTTCAGCCTATGAAATTTTCTGATAGACTTTGCAAGGCATGACCCATTCCCAAGAAACTCAACCAACTACTCAGAGAAAGGACAGTTTTTCTCCTCTCCTGGGTGAGGGTGCACCTGTGTGCCACATACACATTTTAGGTCTCATTCTTGCCTGGGCTATAATGAGTGAGCTCACATTCTGTGTAGTACTTCTCACCTGCCCATTCATAGCAGCAAAACCATGCTGAAGATTCCCGGCACAAGAGACAGGATAGTGGATGACTCCCTAAAAATAGAGGCCCCAGCAATCAGACAGCTAAGAAGGGCTAAGAGGGCATGGATCAGATGTTTTAGCTCCCTAGATGGTTAGCTGAGAAGGAATGACTGGCTAGAAAAGAAACCACCAGTGACAAGCCTAGAGCAGAGCAAAGTTCCTGATGAAAGAGGGCCAAGCAGAGAACCCACTAAGGGAACAATGAACCAGCAAGACTAAACTAATTGTTATTCATATTAAATTGGGGCACAGGTGATTTGGTCCCAGATGTTTTTTGGGTTTTGCATTACAGATGATGCTTTTATGGGATCCTTCTGGGATTCAGATTATGGGAACTCGGCCAGGACCAGAGTAGGGGCAGGGCTCCTGCCCCACTTAACTACACAATAAATACATAATAGCTTGTCCCAGAAGGCAGACCCAACCCAGGCTTTGCATACTAAATATTCTGGTGTTAGGGTTTTGGAGTTTCTGAGAAGAAGGGCTCTTTCCTGGCAGTGGGAAGAAGATAGGTCAGATCTAGGAGCTGTTCCAAAAGTCAGGAGCAAGGACCAAGTTGTGGGGATGCAGTACATCCAGATGTAAGCATTCCATCCAGCTAAAAGCACTGCTGCCTTTCATCAGAAGGATGTAGGAAAGTGGTAACTATGGCTCAAACCACCTGCCGGGGGACTGGTAGGAATGCAGGTGCGTGGAAGGCAGGCAGGTATATGCACACATTCATATGTGCACATCTAGTATGTAAGAGACCATTTGTATGCACTCATGTCTCTATGTTCACTTGTATATCCACCTTGATGTGCACACTTTGTGTCTACATAGATGTTTGTGTATCTGTGTGTCCACATCCTTAGTTTGGAGTGCCAAAACAAATGGCAGGCTGCTGTTTTTCTGCTGAGCCTTCTCATGCTAATTTTAATCCCACATTATTGTTTCAAGTTGGTTTTAAAAAGTAATATTTAAGATGCCATAAACATACCTTGGGGCTGAATTGCAAGATAGGTCTCCAGAATGGGGTTTTATCATCACTGTTGTTCTTACAAGAACGGTGAGATAAAACTAGTTACCCTTCTTGTCCCATCTGGTCAAACTCCAAGTTAAAAGGATGACGCTCCACAAGAACACCCAAAGAGAACAAACATCCAGTGGCCACAGCTTCACAGTACCAGACAGGACACTGAGAGCTTACTGTAAGCCTCATCATATTACTGAAGAGATGGGACCTGAGGATGGCCTTTGGCCAAATAACATGGCTAGTGCCTTCCACCTGCTCATCACCACTGTCCTGAACTCCCATTTGGGAACTGGGCCTGTCCTGGAGGAAGAGATAAGGAGTGGCTGTGACTCCATCCATGGATGGGCTCCTTTATGGGCATCAGCTTCCCTACTGGTAGGATTCACAGCTGAAACCGGTTCCCAAGGTCATTTCTGCTCTACTATTGGGAAATTGTGAGTGGTGTGGCTGGCTCTTAGCAAAGTATAAAGAAGAAAGGATCATTCCAGCCTAGAGGAGGACAAAGCACAGAAGAGTTCACTGCAATTCATACTTCATTAAGAGGAGGAAATGACCCTGCATTGCAGCAGCAGCAGCAGCAACAGCAGCAACAGCAGCAGCAGCACCAGCAGCAGGAACAGATTCTTGGGTCAGATTTCGAGGTTCATCCTTGCTGATAAGGAAGGCGGTTGTGCACAGGCAAGAGGGAGATTAAGGGACAGCTCTCCCTAGTGATAGTAATTATATTTTCTAGTATCTGTGGGATGATGTGGACAGAAGCCCCTGGCTCACCTCAAAGTCTTGACTAACAGGAGTAGCTCTGGAACCCCTACACCACCCACCTCCACCACACATACCCAGGAGGAGGTGAGTATGTGTCACAGGGCCTGGTTTGGTCCTGACAGAGGTAATGCTGAAGTCCTGTGGGCTCAGGTTCAGCTCACAGTATGGAGTACACTTTGATCCAGCAATGCCTAGCTATAGGTCATGGGGCTAGGGAAGGAGGTCACAGACCCTAGAGAAAGCACTGACAGGAGCTGGCCTTCTGCAGTTGCCAAGACATAGCTGAAGACTCTGACCACAGGTGTCAGTGAGGGCTAGCGGCAATATAAACCTGAAGGTCTTATAGACCGTGTCTAAGGCTCTGGCAAGTGGACAAAAGCATTTGGAAGCCTCCCTCTAGATGGCTGCATGGCCTCTGCACAGGCATACACGGAGGCGCGCAGCTCACGCACACACACACACACACACACACACACACACACACACACACACTGTCACACTCGATGAACACAGCCCCCCCCCCCCCGCGACCTCCCCTCTCCACACTCACACACACACACACACACACACACACACACACACACACACTGTCACACTGGCTGAACACAGCCCTCCCCCCTCCACGACTTCCCAGCTCCCCAGGGTAATAAGTGCCTGCCCACCCCCACCCCCCCTTGGCCATCTCTTGGCTCAGCTGCACCCAGCAATGCCTCCTGCCTCCTCTTTAGAATGCCCAGTGCACAGGGACGAAAGGGGGGGGTGACACCCAGCAGCCTGACTTATCCTTAGAGAAGAAAGTAGTGACCACAAATGGGGCAGCCCCATTGGCAGGCTCTTGAGGACCCCCACCTCCAACTCACACAAACAGCCTTGTATCCACTCCCTGGAGTCTGAAGCCAAGGATGGGGCCGCACCCTCCCAGCTCTCCAGCCCTGTCACTTGGTCCCAGAGAACACCTCCCCACACACACACATCCCAGCAGCCCAGCCCAGAAACAATCACCCTTTGAGAGAGGCTGCCAAGCCTGGCCTTCAAGAGCAGCCAGAGCAGGCGGGGTGGAGGCATGGAGGAGGGGTGGGCTGGGGGTTCCTGCGGGGCAGGCGCGCTCTCTCTCCCGGGATTCCAGTCCGGGGTGCGCTGCACCCAGGCTGCAGCTACCCCAGCACCCAAAACCCAAGCCTCCCAGAGGAGAGGGGATCGCGAGGGGGTGATACCAAGCTCGGGGAGGGGTCCGGCGTCGGCCCCTGCCTCA